TACAATATACAGTATATATACAGCCCGCTGGATGTGCAGTAATGTACATACAGTATACCGCGCTGAGCCAAGCTGGCTCAAAAAACAAATGTCCCTATGACAGATTAATCTGTCAGCCCGCTGGATGTGCAGTATATACAGTATACTGAGCCAAGCCGTTTCAAAACGTACCGGTACGTCCCTGCGGTAATCAGCCCGCTGGATGTGTGTATGTACGGTAGCTGAGGCTACATACAGTATACGCTGGGCCAATCACGGCGAGCGATGTATTCTACTAATGAATACAAAGCCTGCTCGGATTGGCTGAGGTTGTGACATCATCAGCCCACCTCTCTGACTCAGCCAATCCGAGCAGGCTTTGTGTTCATTAGTAGAATACATCGCTCGCCGTGATTGGCCCAGTGTATACTGTATGCAGCTGCAGCTACCGTACATACACGCATCCAGCGGGCTGATTACAGTAGGGACGTACCGGTATGTTTTGAAACCGTTTGGCTCAGCGCAGTATACTGTATATACCGCACATCCAGCGGGCTGACAGATTAATCTGTCATAGGGACATTTGTTTTGAGCCAGCTTGGCTCAGCGCGGTATATTGTATGTACAGTATTACCGCACATCCAGCCAGCTTGACCCAAACAAACTCAGGGTTCACATTTTTATACCCCGCGTATAAGACGACCCCCAATTTTTGGGGTATATTTTTAAGTATAAAAAGTAGTCTTATACGCCAGAAAATACTGTACATTGCAAGGATTGCAAACGCTACTGCACATTCTTAACTGCATCTGTTCTGGAGGTGTTGTAGGTATTGCTGCCACTTTTTATAAAGGCTGAGAGGGTCAGCAATTATTTATTTATTTTGAGTTCTTATATAGCACATTCGATTTACGCAACACTTTACATAAATATATTGTATATTGACATCAGTCCCTAACCCTCAAGGCGATTACAGTCTAAGGTCCCTAGCTCACATTCATACATACACATAATAGGGCAATTTAGACAGGAGCCAATTAACCTACCAGCATGTCTTTGGAGTGTGGGAGGAGACTGCAGTACCTGGAGGAAACCCTGCACAGACACAACATGCAAACTCCAGGCAGATGGTGCTACGGTTGGGATTCGAAACCAATGACTCTATTACTGCCAGGCAGAAGTGCTAAACATTTAGCCACTGTGCTGCCATGTAATCACATGGTCAGTGTTTATTGCTTCTGAATCACCTTGATTCTTAGGGTTTTATTTGTAAATACATTAGTTGCCCAAATGTCACAAGCATTCACCCATACAAGATGAATTCTATCATATTTTGCTAAATACACTCATTTCCTAAGATTGTCAGCTCCATCTAATGGCCATAAAGCTGCATTTTTCCTGATACACCTCAATCAGGACAAATATCACATTATGGCCACTATATGGAACAGTCATAGGAAATCACTGTATTAAGAAGCTGCCCGCCGCCCTATAGCAGAAATACTGCTACAGTGTGGCAGGGCTGCACAAATTCACGTATATTTATGTGATTTGCATTTCCAGGTAGGGGGCACACGCATGTGCCACCCTACCCCACCGTTGGTGGCTACAGATGTCAATCACCGCGTCCTGGCTAAAGATTTTCCGCCAACACCCGGCGATCGCTGAGTAACACTGATGGGAGAGAGCAGCGTGTAAACAACACAGGTCTCTCTCCTGCCAGCAACAATATGCTGCTGTGTATTTCTCTGCTGTTCTTATATATTAGGTTATTTATTTTTATTTATTTATTATTGGCCCTGGTATGTGTATGTATGAATGTGAGTTAGGGACCTTAGATTGTAAGCTCCTTGAGGGCAGGGACTGATGTGAATGTACAATATACTATATATGTGTAAATCTCTGTATAAATTAGTGAGTTTAAATAAGTGCGTTTTCAAAGATCGCCTAAAGGCGGACAGGGTGAGGGCTGACCGGACATACTGCAGTAGGGAGTTCCGGAGGATGGGAGAGGCTCTGGAGAAGTCCTGGAGGCGAGCATGGGAGGAGCTGACGAGGGAGCTAGAGAGCAAGATGTCTTGGGAGGAGTGGAGTGGGAGTTTTGATATCGTCCAAATCGCCCGCTCCGCTCCTACCAAGACATCTTGCTCTCTAGCTCCCTCGCCACACTTGCCTCCAGGACTTCTCCAGAACCTCTCCCATCCTCTGGAACTCCCTACCGCAGTATGTCCGGTCAGCCCTCACCCTGTCGGCCTTTAGGTGATCTTTGAAAACTCTCTTATTCAGGAAAGCCTACCCCACCTCCACCTAAGAACTGTACTTGAGCCACCTCCATCAGAACATCGCCTACAACTATCACCCTTTGTACCACCTCCCCCTTCCTTTAGATTGTAAGCTCCACGAGTAGGACTCTCCTATTCCTTCTGTACTGAAATGTATTATAATTGTACTGTCTCGCTTACATTGTAAAGAGTCGCGCAAACTGTTGGCACTATATAAATCCTGTATAATAATAATATAATAATAATGATAATAATAATAATAAATTGACGGCACTATGTAAGTATCTGTAATAAATAAATAAATAAATAAAATATTTTGTATTGCAGAAGGCAAGGAATTTCTCATGCACCCCATTTCACTTAAAAAAAAGAAAAACAAATAGATCCTGCTTGTTTGCTAATTAGCTAGTAAATGAGATGCAGGGAAAGAGCAAACTCCTTGAGTGGACTAGCATGGGCTCTAAATACATTGTGAATCCATAGGACTCATACCTCCTATCTGCCAAATTTCTGCATTTTCTTCACTATCAAAGCAAACCAAGGTAGAAGACGCACATAGGCAATGTGCTGTGGGTGTCACAGGTGGAGTGATTGGCTGGTCCTGTTCTGTGCATTACCCGGCTGTCAAACTGACAGCTCAGTCCTACATACAGTATTACACTTGGTGAGCTGATGTCAGACAGCGACAGACATGCACTTCTTTTAGCGATACCATTGATATTGAATATATATATGCCATGTGCTACTCCTTTTTTTGCCGATATTAACTTTAACCAAAAATTATCAGTATATGATTAATAAATGATATATATGTGTAGCCTATGGGTCTTATTACTCTTTATCTACTTTGTTAAAAAAGAAATCGCATACAAATTGAGGAAATTTGTCAGCCACTTAACATAATCCATCTCCCTCCCCTGATTTTGCCAAAGTTGGCAAGTTAATAAATTGAGTCTTTGTATTTTTTTAATAACAAATATGAATCATTAAACTTTAATTATGTGGGAAGACAATTTACTGTTAATGTTATGTTACAGTAATTTAGGTCGCTAATTAGTATTATTAGTCAAGTGAAAATTACTTTTTATTTAATAGTCTAAGGAAAGGCAAAATTCAGACAAAATCCAGAATTGTTTGCAGTACGCACAAGCGTTTGTCGGCACACTTTTGTAGAAGTAACAGGACAAACTTTTTTTCCTTCAATAAGATTCTCCTTCTCATGATTGTAACTTCATTCATCTGGCAGGTATTCTCTGACCCAAAATCTGAATCTAGTATTTATGGCATATGTAAAAGATTTGATCTCCCTGACGGTATCAGTGGCTGCTATGGTGAACTGATCCTAAAACTATATGGAAAGCCCCAAATCTACTTTTTCGGAATAAATGATAGCATGCTTCAATGTATACAGTTGTTAGGATTGCAATTCTCACAATTAGCAGAAATCTTGCCCGTCTGTTATGTGCACTCCTTCATTTGGCCCTTGAACTGATTATTTGAAAGACTTGATAGGCAGCCCGACAGACAACTAAAGGGCTGTACTTGGCAGGATGACAACGATGCTGTAAAGTGAAAGGTCATGGCTTGGTGTTGTCAGGCTGCAACAGGAAGTGCTGCTATTGGCAGGATCTCCAGTTAAGAAACGGAAAAATTTTTCACAAGAGAAAGAGAGGAAACAGATCAGAGGAGACGGAATGGAGAGTAGGGGGAGAGGAGGGGAGGGGAGACAAGGGGGGAGGTGAGGAGATAAGAAGATGGGAGAAGAGAGGAGACAGGGAAGGGAGAGAAGACAGAGGAGAAAAGAGGAGAGCAGAGGAAATGAGAGAAAGGGAGAGAAGGAGAGAGGAGGAGAGAGGAGAAGAGAAGAGGAAAGAAGGGAGGAGAAGAGAAAAGAGGGGATGGAGAGAAGAGGGAGAGGAGAGAAGAGAAGAGTACAAAAAATGAGATGAGGGGAGAAGAGAAGAGGGAAGAGGAGAGAAGAGGGGATAAAGAAGAGAGGGCATGAGAGGAGAGGAGGCAGGAAGGGGAGGGAGAGGAGAGAATACAACAGGAAAGGAGAGGAAATGAGAGGAGGGGAGAGGAGAGGGAGCGGAGGGGAGGGGAGAGGAGAAAGAAGCAGAGGGGAGAGGAAAAAGAAGAGGAGAAGAGCTGAGGAAAGAGGAGAGGAGGAAGGGAGTGGAGAAGAGGAAGTGGAGAGGAGGCGAAAAGAGATGAGAGGACAGGGAGGGGTGGGAAGTGAAGTACAGGGAGGAATACCGTATTTTTCGCTCCAGAAGACACACTTTTTTCACCCAAAAATGGGGGAAAAATGTCTGTGTGTCTTATGGAGCGAATATAGAGAAGCCAGTCAAAATAATTAAAGAAATTTTGTCACCAGACTATTCATTTCAGCAGCAATCTTTCCATCAGATTATATGTGCATTTAAATCGCAGGCATGTAATTTTCTTGAAAACGCCTCCCTTTTGTAGACATCCAAAAGCCCTGAGATTTTTGCTGGGCACCACCATCTTGATATGATGTCAGTAGTGTTTGTAGACTCAGAGCTATCACTCAAGTGACACTCTTTAACTTTCCCCCTTTCTGCTCCCCAGCAACTACATAAAAGGTTATGTAGAGAAGTAAGGGGAGGGGCATAGGAGCTTGGCCAGCACAGACTATTATTAGAGACTACCAGAAGAGGAGACATGACAGGATGGAGGGGGCTGCTCTAAGAAAATGTATTTTCCTTAAGGTGTTATTAAACCCACAACAGTATAATCAATCTGTATATGCAATAAAGCATGCTTGTTATACTCACTGTGGAACCTAAGGGGTTAATCCTCTGCATTGTGTAAAAAACACTGTTTTATCCTGACGTCTGTGATCCTCCCCTTCTTCCAGTGTCCCCGTCTTATCTCTTGATAAGACATATCATGTGGAGTTACTCGGCACATGCTCAATTTGGTGTATTTTGATAGAGAGGTTTTTTTTTTTTTTCTCCTTAGGAGAGTGCATGTGATGAGCACAGGGCCAATCAGCACTGTCCAGACAGAGGTCAGGGGTTCTGAATCCTGCTAGAGCAGAATAAAAACTCCTCCTACACACTTTAACCAGTGCTTTGCTGGACACTAATAAAGATGTAGTTACAAGACTGCTCTAACTGCTGATGAGAAAATGTATTTAGCAGTTTATATTTACTAAAATAATTACACTTCCGTGTTCTGTGTACTGTGGGAGACCAGATATAGTGAATGCAGGGTCCGGGGAGACCAGATATAGTGAATGCAGGGTCCAGGGAGACCAGATATAGTGAATGCAGGGTCCGGGGAGACCAGATATAGTGAATGCAGGGTCCTGGGAGACCAGATATAGTGAATGCAGGGTCCGGGGAGACCAGATATAGTGAATGCAGGGTCCGGGGAGACCAGATGCAGGGTCCGGGGAGACCAGATATAGGGAATGCAGGGTCCGGGGAGACCAGATTCAGTGAATGCAGGGTCCGGGGAGACCAGATATAGTGAATGCAGGGTCCGGGGAGACCAGATATAGTGAATGCAGGGTCCGGGGAGACCAGATATAGTGAATGCAGGGTCCGGGGTTTATTAACACTTTAAGTAGTCAAATGCGAAAAAGCTCATGAATAAAAAATTATTTATGACAAGGAAAACGAAGCTACAAGTAAGCACTTAAAATACTTGTTTTTTTTCTATTTAAAATACTTGATTTTTCATTGCTTTTACCTGCCCTTTTTTAAGTTGGTGGCAAGGTCTCTTTAACTGATAGCAACATAGGTGAGTACAAAGACTGGTAGGACAGACTCAACCCCCATTAAAATTCAACGTATTCTTCTCCATAACATTTTTATTTTTTTGTAATGATATGGAATATGAATCGAACGTGTTGTATGTCAGTGACAAAGCGCAGTGACTTTTGGAACTTGGAACATATGGTTTCTGTCGGCATTCACCGTACAAGCCCCTGCAACCAGCTCGACAAAGGCGTCTTTTATTTTACTGGCATAAACGCTCACCACATGGATCCGGCGCTTTATGATTCTTCTGTTTAAAAAATCCGCAAATGAAATTCAAATTTCTCCGAGAGAAGAAAATGGGATATTGTTATATAACAGGTGCTCCAAATGTTTCCACAATACGACTCGTAGTATCATCCTTCTGGCTAGCATAAATATGTATAGGTACAGCACAATTCTGCTTGCCTTTTCTCCAGTCAATTCATCATATTTCTGTAACTTACATGTGATTTATGATTTATCCTGAATTGTTATGCAAATGAAGTGCCAACATCTTTTTTTTTCCTTTTTTCTTTTTTTTTTTTTGAGATGAGGTGCTAAGACTACAGCGTGCATTGATTGCCTACAATATGTTCCTGAAAACATAGAGGAGTTTTTTTTTCTTTAGATACACAGCTTTACTATTTTTTACTTTGTTACTCTTGTAACTATTTTGTACATTTGAATACATATTGCAGGTACAGCTAGAGTACTGCAGTACAGTAAGATAAGTACTGCTAGATAAATCCCCTGTGGTTTCATATGAAAACTAGCTATAATAACTGATACAATAATTCTGTTTTAGCAATAGTCAAAATAATAATTTTTGTAAAGAAAAAGGATATAAAAAATATAATTGTGGCATTTTGTATACTAAAGGTTAATCCATGGCTAGGATGTAGGCAGGTGTTGGGCTGCCGTTTGTCCTCCGAACCTAATGGTGGCGCTGTGCTTTTTCAGGCTTTTAATGCATGCAAGAGTAAATGCTTGTTTTGCTAAGGGTTGATAAATAAGGTGAAATACTTATCAAATTCAATGTTTCTCTGGCATCCATCATTCTCTTTTGCTTTCAGGCGCTCTCAGGATGTAAGTAGGCCTTTGGTATCCTCATGTACTACATGGTATTGCATTGTGCATGATGACATCAGAGATCAGGAACTGGAAGGGAATTAAGAGAAGTGTCTTGGAAAATTGGTCTAAGGCAGTGGTCTCCAAACTGCAGCCCAGGGGCAAATGCAGCCCTTTGCTTGCTTTTATCTGGCCCTTGGGGCACAATTCATCAACTGATACCAAGATTGGGACATAATTCCCTCCATTGACACCAATAAAGGGGCACAATTTGACCCAATGACACCAATGATCGGGCCTAGTGACACCAAATGATTGGGCACAATTTTTCCCAATGACACCAACAATGGGTTAGAATTCCTCACAATGACATTAATGATGGGTCAAAATTCCTCCCAATGACACCAAAGATAGGTCACGATTCCTCCCAATGACACCAACGATGGGGCACAATTCCTCCCACTGACACCAACAATGGGCCACAATTCCTCCCAATGACAGCTATGATGGGCCGCAATTCCTCCCGCTGACATCAAAGATGGGACATTGTCTGTTCCCACTGACGTCAGGACCTTTTCTACTCCCAATAGCCAAAGTCTGCCCCCCCCCCCGTAAAGTCTCAAGGACAGAAAACTTGGCCTTTGTTAAAAAAAGTTTGGAAACCCCTGGTCTAAGGGCTCTTTCACATGTTGACAGTGCTTATCAACCTCTGAAATGTGGTCCATGATGGATCCCTTTCCAGAGGGGGTGGTGTAGCAGCTGCCAGGTGGTTTAATCCCAGGGTGGGATTTGAACTAAACTATATTTGGTCTTCCCAGACCCTGCATTCACTATATCTGGTCTTCCCAGACCCTACATTCACTATATCTGGTCTCCCCGGACCCTGCATTCACTATGTCTGGTCTTCCCAGACCCTGCATTCACTATATCTGGTCTCCCCAGACCCTGCATTCACTATATCTGGTCTTCCCAGACCCTACATTCACTATATCTGGTCTCCCCGGACCCTGCATTCACTATGTCTGGTCTTCCCAGACCCTGCATTCACTATATCTGGTCTCCCCAGACCCTGCATTCACTATATCTGGTCTCCCAAAGTACACAGAACATGGAAATACAATTATCTTAGTGACTATAAACTGCTAAATACCTTTTCTCATCAGCAGTTAGAGCAGTCTTGTGACTTCTATCAGTGTCCAGCAGAGCATTGGTTAAAGCTCATAGGAGAAGTTTTCCTTCTCCGCTGACTGTATTATGAGGCTGCATAACCTCTGACCCTCTATGTGGACAGAGCTGATTGACCCTGTGCTGATCACATGCACTCTCCCAAGAAAAAAAAAAATCTCTCTAACACTACACACCAAACTGAACATGTGCAGCTTGCCCCCAATGCTCTGTTCCATCAGCAAATGGATTGGGGACAGTAGAAGAAGGGGACGATCAGAAAAGTCAGGATCAAACAGCCTTTTTACACAATGTGGATGATTAACCCCTTTAGTGCCACAGTGAGTATAACAAGCATGCTTTACTACATATACAGACTGATTTTACTGTCGTGAGTTTAGTAACACATTAATTTCCGATTAGCTCAATCAGGTGTCCTGAAGGAATCATCCCGTAATAAATAACGTAGGAAAGAAGCAAACATTGGGACTTTAAATGTAATCTTCAGGAGACCATAATATGGAATATACAGAAATGTAAAATATATAAATGTTTACCAATTTAAAACAGATATAGTGATGAAGAACACCCAAGGCATATAAAAACAAAATAAATTGCCATCATAGGGTATAACAAATAGTCATTCTGTCTACACGTTTCATGGGGACCACTTCATCAGAGCTGAAGCACCAATCTTCATAGGTATTGTGATAGTACTTATGAAGGTAGGCACCTCTATCCTGATGAAGCGGTCTTTGCAAAATGTGTAGACAGAATAACTGTAACAGATAGGTATTATCACTATACTTATGAAGATTGGTGCTTCAGTCCTGATGAAGCAGCCCACATGAAATGCGTAGACAGAATAACTGTAGCAGATAGGTATTATCACTATACTTATGAAGATTGGTACCTCTGTCCTGATGAAGCAGTCCCCGTGAAATGCGTAGACAAAATAACTGTAACAGATAGGTATTATCACTATACTTATGAAGATTGGTGCTTCTGTCCTGATGAAGCAGCCCACATGAAATGCGTAGACAGAATAACTGTAACAGATAGGTATTATCACTATACTTATGAAGATTGGTGCTTCAGTCCTGATGAAGCAGCCCACATGAAATGCGTAGACAGAATAACTGTAACAGATAGGTATTATCACTATACTTATGAAGATTGGTGCTTCTGTCCTGATGAAGCAGCCCACATGAAATGCGTAGACAGAATAACTGTAACAGATAGGTATTATCACTATACTTATGAAGATTGGTGCTTCTGTCCTGATGAAGCAGCCCACATGAAATGCGTGGACAGAATAACTGTAACAGATAGGTATTATCACTATACCTTCAAAGATTAGTGCTTCTGTCCTGATGAAGCAGTCCCCGTGAAATGCGTAGACAAAATAACTGTAACAGATAGGTATTATCACTATACTTATGAAGATTGGTGATTCTGTCCTGATGAAGCAGCCCACATGAAATATGTAAACAGAATAACTGTAACAGATAGTTATTCTGTCTATGTGTTTCACGGAGATCACTTCATCAGGACTGAGGCACCAATCCTCATGGGTATTATGATAATACCTATCTGTTACAGTTATTCTGTCTACGCTTTTCATGTGCACCGCTTCATCAGGACAGAGGTACCAATCTTCATAGGTATTATCATAATACCTATGAAGATAGGTGCCTCTATCCTGATGAAACGGTCTCTGCAAATGCATAGACAGAATAACTATCTGTTATGGCGCCATGAATGCAATATTATTTGTTTATACATGTATTGGGTGTTGTTCATCATTATCTGTTTTTAAATTGGCATAATAAACATTTACATATTTCTACATACCTGTACATTGTGTTTTAGGGTCTCCTGGAGGATATATGTAAGTTTTGTTGTGGAATCAATTTTTGGATGAAAATTTGATTTTCGGAAATTCAGATGTATACGAATCTCTGAATTCGGTCATAGTACCGAAAGTCAATAAATCCAAAAAATGTTATAACGATATTAATGAACGCATTTGTCTCATTTGGATGATGTCACATGATGCAATAGTAGTTCGGGCCCATGGGGAAATTGATACAGTTTTTGAATTTGTTTGATAATCCAGATTCTAGTAAATTTGTGATTTAAATTGAATTTCTAATGGTCACAGTCAGTCAGTCAGTTCCACAATCTAATGCAATTCTTAGGTTTGAAAAATTTGGGCCGCCGGATTTTGCATTATTTATTCTGTTGCATCTGAAAATATTGAATCCTTCTGAATAGTTTTGATATATGAATAATAAATGCACCCAAAATTTCAAAATCAAAAACTAAAATATAGAAATCTTCCAAAAAAATTAAAAAACCTGCAAATTTTTTTTAATCCACCCAGAACAACAAATATATGTAATGAATGTCAAAGATATGAAACAAATTCTGAAAAAGAAATTGATTTCAACATAACGAATATGACAAAACGAAAATCTTCAGTGAACGAATGCATCCATGACTAAAATTTCCAGCATGCATGTCTAGTTTAAAGTCTCAATTTTTCTGTATTTTCTATCTGATTGCTGTGACAGCCAACCACAGTTGTCACATGATTGAAAATCCTGACTGCCTTCTGGTGATAAGAACCCCTTTAAATGGTTGTCTCCTGCAGAGATGCTCATCACAGTCCCTGATACACAGGAGACCACTGGAGGGAGCATATACACATGTGCATAAAGATGGCAATGCATATATCAGTCCTATTGTACAATTTCATTTGCAGCTTTGGCGCTGGTATACATGAGCATCACTTGCTATAATCATTCCATGAAGTGGTTAAAGCCCATCTCAAATTTGCAAATGCCAGCTGTGCAGTGATTCAAGCGAAAACAGAGAGATCGTTCACCTCTCGTTCTCAGCGATAAATTCGCCCATCTAGGGCCCGTCTAACACTCCCAGCCAATTCCTATTAGCAGACAATTATTTTGGCGCTGGTCGATAGTCCTCATTCACAGCCGAGTGTTTTCCATACATCTTGTTTTATCATTTACGTCTTTCAGCTCCATATAAATCCCACATGTTTTCAGCTGCTCGCTATCGCTCACTTCTCACAACAGCGGCTCTGCTCTCCTGAGTTACCCCGACTCGGCACGTCCTTCAAATAACACTTTTTCTGACAACTGCTGTCAACTCCATCATCCGACTATCCACTTTCACTCATTGACTCCCAGCAGATAGCCGCGTTCCCGGCTCCCTCGCACGGCGCAGCACAAATAGGTCTTCACAGCTGCACGTTGGATAATTCCTAACCGATTCCTGCTGCTATTAATTGTCTTCCCATATTTCTATTGAGATGATCTGATAGAATCTGACAAGTTGTGAAAAGCAGAGAAAACTAAAGTTTTTGTGAGTTAGCCAAGAAGAGTATCCTTTGATCTTAACCTGTGAACCCGTGAATATTTTTTACCTAGAATATTGCCATTATTACATTGCTTTTTAGTATCCTTAAAGGGACTCTAACCTAAAAAAAATGTGTGCCCAAAAAGAAACAATAGTCTTTTATTAAAATGTGATTGGCTAAATCAACATAAAGAGACCCTGTCACCGACTTAAATGGCTGCAGATTAAAGCACACAAAAGTCAAGTATTTTAAATGCTTACTTCTAGTATTTTTCCTTACCGTGAAAGATTTTTTACACACTTTCAATATGCCTTTGAACATTTTATAAAATGTACTGTCTGTGCTGCCTCTCTCTTCAATTCCCTACATAACCTTTTAAGTAACTGCCATGAAGGGGAATACCATGGTGTAGCCTTTCTCAATCTTTTTACTCCAGAAAAACTCTTTCCGAAAATAATTTTCAGGTCTTAGGTAAAGCCTGCTAAAAAATAATTAATTACGGAAAGTGGGAAGAATACCCCTAATATTGATGGTCAATAGAAATAATGTCCCTCTTACATTGATGACCAGTGGGAAGAATGCCCCCCTTAGTGTTGTGGTCATTGAGAAGAATGCCCTCCTTACAGTGGTGGTTAGTGGGAAGGTTACCCTCATTACAGTGGTGGTCAATGAGAAGAAAACCTCTCCCTACAGTGGTGCTCAGTGAGAAGAATGCCCTTCTTACAGTGGTGAACCGAGGAAAGAATGTCCTGCTTACAGTGGTGGTCAATGAGAAGAATACCCTCCTTACAGAGGTGGTAAGTGGGAAGAATTCCCCCTTTACAGTGGTGATCAGTGGGAAGAATGCACCCCTTACAGTGATAGCCAATGAAAAGAATGTCCCCCTTACAGTGGTGATCAGAGGGAAGACTGCTCTCCTTACAATGATGTTCAGTGGGAAGACTGCCCTTCTTACAACGGTGGTCAGAGGGAATAATACCCCCCCCCCTTAGAGTGGTGGTCAGAGGGAAGACTGCCCCTCTTACGGTGGTGGTCAGAGGGAAGAATGCCCTCTACAGTGGTGGTCAAAATACTGTTCTTAACAGAAACCTAAAAATATCTCTAGAGTCATTCTGCTGGCTCTAGAGATATTGAACCTAGAACATTCTGCTGGCTCAAGTGGAATTGAACCTAGAACTATACAGGTATCATCAGGTAAAAGGTCAATCATCCATAGCTGAAAGAACCCCTAGCAACGTGTGGATGAACCCCAGGATTCCAACCCTGGTTGGGAATGGCTGCTGTAGTGTACATCCAAGGTAGTGGTGCCCAGAAGCGGTCTCAGTGCTTCTGCATGCCCACATAAAGGTTGATTGTACAGGAAAATAAAACGGATGCACGTTAAATGCACATATAATCTTATAGAGAGATATTTTTGTTGAATAGTCTGGTGACAGGGCCCCATTAAAGTATAGCTGTGGGTAAAATATAAAATTACACATATAAATTATGTGGTCAATGACACAGGCCCCATGTGGCACTCATTAAATTTGCCACCGCATTA